TGCGCCAGCGTCAAACCGTGACATTGTGTCTTCTCAGATTCTGCTTGGAAAAATAAAATATCCTTGTCAGGCTTCTCTTCTTGAAAATAAGATTAACAGTACTTCATGAATGTGTTAGAAGGTTAGCCTATTACTCTAAAATCTTGGAGAAAGGGTAGAAAAAATACTTGTAGCTATTTAACTGTGTAATAGAAGTCTACAGAGCTATGAATGTATGAAAAATACGTAAAATGCAAAAATCTTTAGGTATCAATACCTGCTTTCTATTGCAACCAAATTGTTATAAAATAAACCCTACACATATATATTTACAAACACTGATCATTCAATGTTTTTTCACCCAAATCCACCCCAAGGGATCTATTAAGAAGAACCTGGGTTACCCTTGCTGTTGCAGATTGATGCTGGCTAAACCCCAGTGCACTCACGAAAAATCATTCACTCATTCTCCTCGGCTATAGTTGAGAAGAGGAGGGAAAAAGAAAAAGAAATTAAAAGGCTCATGGGGTGAGATAATGATTAGGAGAAAACACTCTAAGGGCAAAACAGGCTTAAAACTTGAAAGACAGAAAAAATTATTAACAGAATTTAAAGAGAGGATAATGAGAACTAAAATAAGCCATTAGAACACTTTCCCCCCTTATTTCCTTCCTACTGACAGTGCAGGGAGACAAAACATAGGGTTTTTAGTCAATCTGCCACTTCTAAAGAATCTTTCTTCAGTTTGCTTAGGGATATGAGTTTCTTTTGCTATGCCATGGGATCTTTCTTACAGGAAACAGTTTTCTGTGAACTTTTCCAACCTGGTTTTAATTTTCTCAAGTAGCAGTCCTGCCCAAACCTGCTGCAATGTGAATCCCTCTCACGGGCAAAACAGTCTTCCCACAACTGTTTTTGCATGGTCCAGTAGTTCATGGGGTGCAGTTTTAAGGATGAGCTGTTCTAGTATGAAAGCAAGGGTCTTCATCCTCTATCTCTGGAAGCAAGGGTTCTCTCTCTCTCTATTTAAACCTCTCACTAGATCACAGTTTCTCAGCATCCTCATGCTCCAGCATGAGTACCTTTTTCTCATGGGCTGCAGGTGAATTCTGCAACCCCCCCCATGCACTCAATGAATTACTGGGAAACAGTCTGTTGTATTATAGTCCTCACCACGGCTTGCAGAAGAATTTCAGCTCCTCATGTGGGGCACCAAAAAAGAAAAGCTGCTGCTGCCTCCTATGCCCCTCTGTCCGCAGCATAGCTTGCTAAAAGCAAATAAAGTTCATTGTAAACCATGCTGAGATGGGAGAGGCCATGTGGTGCTGCCTCAGACGTGCAGCCCTGGCTGCGTGGTCCCTCCTGGACTGGGGTGGCAGCAGCCAGTCCTAGCCCCAGCTGCTCCTGGCCTCATCCTCAGGGCTGTTTGCAGTGCCAGGATGGCCCCCTACAGCAGCATGAACCTGGCCGCTGTGTTGGGAAAGGGCCTCAGCCGCCCTGCCAAGAATGCGCCTGACAGGCTCGCCAGGAAGGGGCGTGACTGCCCTGTCACCACTCCTCGAAGGCGAGGAAGAAAGAGAGCTTCCCGTGGTTTTTCTTCTTTTAAATATGTTATCATAGAGGCGTTACCAGCTTTCCTAATTGGCTTAGTAGTGTGCCTCTTCTCAGAGCCAGCCAGTGACTGGTTTTGCCAGGCATGGAGGAAGCTTTTAGCAGCTCCTCACAGAAAATCACTTCCGTGCCAGGCTTCTTCCCTCTTCACCAAAAATCAAGCCATGCAAAAAACCACCACACTTGCCTTCAGGGATGGGTCATAATAACAAATGCTTCTTGAAGTCTGTCAGGCTTAGTGCTGTGACCACTTCCTTGGGGACCCTGTTCCAGTGCCCGACTATCCTCTGGGTGAAGAACCTTTTTTCTAATATCCAACCTAAACCTCCCCTGACACAACTTCAGGCCATTCCCTTGGGTCTTGTCACTGGACACCAGAGAGAAGAGATCAGTGTCTGCCCTTCTTCTTCCCCTCACTAGGAAGTTGTAGACTGCAATGAGGTCCCCCTCACTCTCCTCTTTTCCAGACTGAACAGACCAAGGGTCCTCAGCCACTTTCTCATACAACTTCCCCTCAAAGCCCTTTACCATCTTTGTTTCCATCCTTTGAACATGTGGAAAAACACAATTCACTGCTTAGAATTTTGAAAAGTTTAAAAAAAATAGGATAAAAAAGGACAATATGTACAGTGCTGGGGGGCTCCTGGACAACAGCCAAAGAACACACCGGTGTATACAGACAATGTTATCTTTATACTGTTACTACATCGCTGAGATGCATGCATATTCATGTGTGTCATGCATTATTCAAACATTCTTGCTAACTTTCTGATGTTTTGGGAACTTCTTTCTTTGACTTCTTCACACTCCAGCTTATCTGCATGTCTTAGTTTGGAAACGGGGGTGTGTATTCTATTCCTATCTGTTAGATGTGGGGCAGTTATCTTGTGTTAATTGGGCAGTTTTCTTGGGGAGATATCTTCTGTTAATGGGCCATTAAATCTCACTGCATGACTGATAAAATTACATCATCTCATTGTGAGAAGCTCCGCCCAGAGGGAGGAGCCAAGCATTCCTACCTGGATATAATCTGAGATTTGGAAGACCCCAGCCAGCCCTTTCCCACTGGATTCCCAGAGGAAGACCAGGTCCATCTACACCACCACTGGATCTTCAGAGGAAGACTACACCCTTCTACAGGATCACTGCCTCAACAGAACCACATCTGTCACTCCAGGAGGACTGCAGGCACCATTTTAATTGGACTGCTACCAACACCCTGACCACCAGTGTGTTAGGTCATATTCTGACTCTGTCAGTGTTGTTTTGTTTTGCTGCATTGTTTATTTGATTTTTTTATTTCATTCTCTAATAAAAAACTGTTATTCCTGCTCCCATATCTTTGCCTGAGAGCCCCTCAATTTCAAAATTACATTTTCCATTTCAGAGGAGGCTCCTGCCTTCCTTAGCAGACACCTGTCTTTTCAAACCAAGACACTGAATGACATCCTGTGTGTCAGGTCAATATATTTTATTTCTTCTTGTGTCTCCATCCTGCTGTTTCACATCCTCTGATAAGTATTTAGTATGTCCTCCTTAAATTTAACATGGTATTCTCTAATTGTCCTGCAGTGCTCTGGTTTGTGTCACAGTTATCTTATTTTGGACAGGTTGTTCAGTGGATGGCCTTACACTGTTTTTAGTTACACAAAAACCTTTTTTTATGTCTTTTGTTTTGCTAAGGTCTATAATACAATACATTCATCACACTATTATTTCCATAAATGATACATAGATACTATATTCATACACTACTATTTTTATGAGCAACACACTGCATGCTTAAGCAGATATATTATATTATATTATATTATATTATATTATATTATATTATATTTCAGCTAAAAAGTGTTATAAGTGATACTATTTCTAAATTCCTTTAATCACTAACAACATGCAGAAGCTAATACATAAATGCGAAAGCCAATATTATCTGGTCTTTTTTTACAAACACTCTCTAATAGTTTAATATCTTTCTGTTATTGTGCTGCCCCAAACTGCTCACAATATTCAAGGTGAGGCCTTGAAATCACTGCAGTTTTTCATACATTATTCAAGAAGACATCAAGAAAGCTATGAAATATTATTTAAATAATCAAATGCTTTTATTATTTGCTTTAAAATGCTTGAAAGGCATTCAGTCTAAATAGGGACATTTTTATTCTGAGCTCATTTAGTTGTTTTATGCTGTTTCACTGTTGCAATGCTTTCTTGGGTTATCATCCCAGAGTTTATAGCCTGGCTTTTGTAAGAAACTGTTTCTAGGAAATTTCAGTAGGCCACAAGGATATGGATGCAGCTCAAGGATTAGCTGAACTGCTGTAGAACTATTCATGTAACACAAAAGCCATTCCATCTGTTAGTCTTGCTAAAAGCAAAGCCATAATATGAAAAGATTTTGATGTATAGTTGTTTGAAGAAGTTCTGTGTGTAAACATGTTGAAGCTGTACCAGGAAAGCCCTGAATCCTAAGAGATGCCTGTACACAAATTATTAAGGCAAAGGCAGAAACTGGAATTAATGATCCAAATATGACAACAGCAAAACAAATTTAAATTTGAACTAACTTTCTGTAAGAAGTAATTTATTAGCTGATGTTAGAATTCTGAGTGGGCAGAAGTGATGTCTTGATTACTGCGATCTTGGTTTGTACTATTGTACTTAGTTGCTGCTGTAACTTCTATACTAATTTCTTACTATTCTGTACAGTATTTCTCTCTGGAACTCTTCAACCAATTACAGATATTACTTTAGCCCCATACCATTCTTGTGACTGAAAGGGGAGGTAAATGTTATCTTTGTTCTCATGAAGAATGTTCGTAAACAGGGAGTGGCTTGCATTTTCAAGTGTTTTCCAATATTGAGTACATCAATACAGAGCTTATACTTACTAGGTTTGTGACCTGTGGAAGCTTTCAGAAAATTTGAGCACCAGTGTTTTCTTCTGAGCTGTAAAGAAAGTCAGTGGTGAAGCCAGAGTCAAAGCTACTGCTTTTAACTGATAGAGTTAATGTGAGTCATGGTCCACACTGCTTCTGCTGGCAGAGGCTGTATATCATTCAGGCTTTTGCAGTTCATAATCAGAAATAGTTGTTAGTCTGGAGATTTAACATCAGCAATGATTTTTTTGTTCTTGTTGAGTACAATACATGTAACTGTTTTAGATGAGATTCAGAAAGTACTTAGGCTCCTAAGTCCTTTTAAAGTTCCAACCTCTCTACTGAGCTTAATGAGAGATGAAAGTCTAACACTTCTTAAATTCAATTTTGCATAACTTCAGCAACATAACTAAGGCATATATTTTCTGATTTTGAATTGCATTTGTATTATGCATTTTTCTTTAACGGGGATTGTATACATATGAGGTTTTACTCTGATTTTATTAAATATAAACCTGTTTGTTCTTTCAGGAGTGCATTAGAGCCTTAGGCTGAAATAAACCTCATACACCATTCAGACCAAGTAAACTTACTCAGGTGCTAAGAGATTCATTCATAGGAGAAAACTCCCATACCTGTATGGTAAGTTTGTTTAGTTAACTTTATGCTTTACCAATTAATTGAAGTTATACATTAACTGAGACTATATTTGAAGTTAGTCTTTCAGCAGAGCCATTTCAGATAACTTTCTCTTTTCTCACTTTTTATTGACCTTTTTGATTGCTTGTTCTAGTTTTCTAGCTAGACAAATAGCTAGAAACACTTTAGGTTGAGGATTTTTTTGTTTGTTTTTAATAATGTCTTAATTATATTATAATATTGCTTGTTGAATCAGAATTTTGGAAAAGGTGGTGTACACTGGAAGTATAGTGGTAAGTTATGATCTTTAAATGACAAAGGCAAATTTAAAATTGGTATCAAAGGTATCAGAATACCCTCTAGGCTGTAAAGAGAAGTAGTTGGGACAGATAAGATGACTAGTTGTGTATTGTATAAAAGTGCATTTGCATCAATCTGAAAAAATAGAATCCTTCTGTCAGATGGAGGAAAGAACAGATAAAAGCACAGATGTCCAGTGGTTTTATTTGTGCATCCTTAACATTTCTCCTTATGGAAATGTAAATTCTCTGCAGTGGACACTGACTGTTAAGCTTGTTTGCTATGGTGGGTTGATCTTGGCTGGCTGTCAGGTGCCCATCAAACCACTCTATCATTCCCCTCCTCAGCAGTACTGGGCAGGGGGAGAAATAAGATGGAAGTCATGGGTCAAGATAAAGGCAGTTTAAAAAAGCAAAAGCAAAGGCTGCACATGAAAACAAAGGAAAACCAAAGAGTTTTATTCTCTATTTCCCATCAGCACACAATGTCCAGCCACTTCCTAGGAGGCAGAGCTTCAGCATGTGTAGCAGTTGCTCTGGAAGACAGATGTCATAAAAATTAATGTCCCCCTTCCTCCTCCTTTTTCTTAGCTTTTATATCTAAGCAGACATCATATGGTATTGAATATCCTTTGGGTCAGCTGGCCTGGCTATGTCCCCTCCTAGGATCTTGCCCACACCCAGCCTACAGGCCTTCAAGGGTGAGGGGGCAGAATGTTGAGACAGCACTGATGCTGTGGCAGCACTGCTCAGCAGTAGCCAAAACACTGGTGTGTTCTCAACACCTTTCCAGCTCCCAATGCAAAGCACAGCACTGGGAGGGCTGCCATGGGAGAATGAACTCCAGCTCAGCCAGACCCAATATATTTGTGTTGGTTACTTTCCACAGGCTCCTTGGAATTAGTCTAGAGGTGACAGAAATCTTCAGACCACAACATGAAAACCATGGTGTTAGGGCAGCCTAGTCTTCTCTTTGGATGTTAGGTATTGTTCTAATATGAAATTTGTGGTAAAATAGCATTTTTGACTAATGGTTTCTCTTTGGTTTTCTAATGAAAACACAGAATTGTTTTCTTTCCACTGGGACAACTTCATAAATCATATTCAAGATCAGAAAGCTAAACCATGCATCTCTAGGCAATGTATCCTCACTGCTAAAGAAGTTTTGGAAAGTTAGCCTGTTGGGAATTCCTTTCTGTACATAGAAGGAGTAACATTTGTGAATGTTTTGTGACATTCTCACCATCACCTTTACCACTGCTTAAAGTGCTAACAAGCTGTCTTCATTTTGGTGAAGCTTTTTTATTTATTATTCTTCTCATAGAGTTAATGTAACATTTTTCCTGTTTAAATGCATGAAAATAACATCGAGAATAATCCATGATGTATGGGTATTTAATTTCTGATAAAGCTTGCATTCCTTCATTTTATATTCAATATAGTTCTAAATTAGGGAAAAAAAATCTCCTCTGAAAGTGAGCAAAAATATGCTTGAAATATTTATGTTATTCACATAACTGCAGTCCCTTTATAATTAAGAATAAGAAAACTCTTTCATGATGAGACACTGCTTTCAAACTCATTCTTCCTGTTACCATTCCATATAGTTTCTCAGTATTAGGACCACTTGTAACATTCTGGGTTTGGTGTTTGTTTGCATGTAATTTTTATCCAGAATTTAATCAGCAATGTTTTCTCTTAAGACAGTGATGTAGGAAGAGTAGCACAGTGCATCTTTATGGTTGTTTGAATTGAGTTCTTGCATTTGCAGCACTTGTTCCTGTGATAACTAGATGAATGCAGAAACAATCTGCCTGTCTAGAGATCTGACACGTTCCTGAACAAAATATATTGAATTGAGGGAGGTGTAGGAGATACCTTAGCCTGGAATTACCTCCAGTCATCCCCAGTTCCCTGGAAAGAGGAGAGGAGATTTACACTCCAGTGGCCAAGTGGTGAAAGAGTGGACAATGATCTGCAGCTTCTGGGTCTTCCTTTGCGTTTTTATCAAGAAAATGCATTCAGCCTTCCAGTGGGGTATTTGCAATTGGTTCTTTGGCAGAGGGCCTAGTTTTAAAGCATGTTCATGTTTAGGTTTTATATGATACACTGGCAAAATTCTACTGATTAAATATACAGGTAAAGAAAAAGGCATATCATTATGGCTGATAATAGTATTTTATTAAATTAAAAGAGTACTTATCCTGCAGGTACACTGACTGCAGCAGAGCTATTAACTGGGTGTCCTGGTTTAGGGCAAATTTGTTAAAGAATCTGCAAAGGAGGGCCCCTCCAGAAAGCAAAACCCACACAGCCCCTCCCCCCAACTGGTTCAGGAAAAAATTCCTTGGAGAGAGGTGGAAAGAACCTGTTTATTTCAGGCACAGCACCCCCCAGCACACAAAATGAACAATACCCGATGACACCGCTCTGAGAAAGATGACAAAATCAGAAAGTCTCTTTCAGGGGTGGTTGCTCTGTTCTCAGTCCCTCCGGCGCTGGGGCAGCTGCTGCAGCTGAACGGTGTTCCCGGGTCCCAGTCCAGAGCAGGTTCGAGATGGTCACAGAAACAGGAGAGGAGAAACAGTCCAGGAAGGAATGTGGACTGTTTAGCTAGAACTAGCTAATAAGCAGAGGCCAAAGCAGAGCAGAAGCAAGAGCAGAAAAGGGAGCAAGCAAAGCAGCAAGCTGAAGCAAGAAGTGAAAAACAGCCCTATGTACTGCTCGTCTCTGTGTCCCTGATAAGAGAAACCCAAACAAAACTTCCACTCTTCAGAGCCGGTCTTAAAGGCACAGAACAGATGAATGAGGATACAAGCATCATAACGTCACCCCAGGACATTGGGGTGCTTCAAACTTTTAAAAATTAATGCAAATATAGTTTAATAATGGGTAGCTTCATTTCAGGTTTCTGCAGTTGACTGTAGAGATCACTGCTATGTTCTCTATAAGTATTTATGTGAAATAAATTAAAGAATAGATGAAATTTTGAGGAATAATTCTGTTGTGGTGGTTTGACCTTGGCTGGCCACCAGGTGCCCACCAAAGCTGTTCTATCACTTTCCTCCTGAGCTCGATAACAGAGAGAAAATATAATGAAAGGCTCATGGGTTGAGATAAGGATGGGGAGAGGTCATAGATTTTCCTGGGTTGAAAGGGACTTTAAAGATCTGCCCAGGCAGAAAGGGACCTGGGGGTACTGGTCGACAGTCGGCTAAACATGAGCCAGCAGTGTGCCCCGGTGACCAAGAAGGCCAACGGCATCCTGGCCTGTATCAGGAATAGTGTGGCCAGCAGGAGCAGGGAGATCATCCTTCCCCTATACTCAGCACTGGTGAGGCCGCACCTTGAGTACTGTGTCCAGTTCTAGGCCCCTCAATTTAGGAAGGACGTTGAGACACTTGAGCGGGTCCAGAGGAGGGCAATGGGGCTGGTGAGGGGCTTGGAACACAAGACCTATGAGGAACGACTGAGGGAGCTGGGGTTGTTTAGCCTGGAGAAAAGGAGACTCAGAGGTGACCTTATTGCTCTCTACAACTTCCTGAAAGGTGGTTGTAGTCAGGTGGGGGTTGGTCTCTTTCACCACGCAGCAACTGACAGAACCAGAGGACACAGTCTCAAGCTGTGTCAAGGGAAATATAGGTTGGATATTAGGAAGAAGCTTTTTACAGAAAGGGTGATAAAGTTCTGGAATGGTCTACCTGGGGAGGTGGTGGAGTCACCATCCCTGGATGTGTTTAAGAAAAGACTGGATATGGCACTCAGTGCCATGGTTTAGTTGAGGTGCTAGGACATGGATTGGACTTGATGATCTTTAAGATCTCTTCCAACCTAGTCATTTTGTGAATTCTGTGAATTCCTGTAATCATCAAGTTCCAACCCCACTGCCATGGGCAGGAACACCTTTCACTAGACCAGGTTTCTCAGAGCTCCAGCCAACCTAGCCTTTGTCAGGAAAATTAATCCATGATGTCAGAGGTTTATGTTCAAAAAGGAGACAGAGGAGTCCTGTAACTTTATTTGAATAAAGGGAAAGGCCATGGAGCATTTCCCATGGGGTCTCTCAAATTGATAGAGGATGCAGCCTCCTTTTTATCCTAATTTCCCAACCACATTTCCCTCTCTCTTCCCCCATTGGCTGAGGTACTTGAGAGGTACAGACTTCCCGCATCACCTAATACAGACTCCCTTCTAATGAGTTCTCCCCTCTTTTTCTTTTTCCTTTTGTCTCTGTTCTTTTTCTCTAAATCCAGGGATTTAACACAGTCCTGAGTGAGTAACAGTCTGTGTCAATTAGTGGAATTCCTATGGAATTCGTGGTTCCACCCATTGCTTCTTTCACCTCTCAGTATCTGGCCTTATGTACCAGCAGGCCCACAGTTTATAAAGACACTTCCTTCTCATTCCTGTCAGCACTCTCTGGGGCAGCTCCAGCCCTGCAGTGTCAGCCTCCTTGCTCCCTTTCAGCCTGGCTGGACCCAGTTGGTTTTAGCTATTTCACTACTATGTCTAAGCTTAATTAACAGCAGAAATAAAAACTGTATCTTTATAACAAAGTTACTTTAGCATCACTCATATAAAATCCATTTTAACATTTGCGAAAAGCCAGTATTATACAATGTATCTATAACATTCAGAGACAGCTCTTCACACTCAAGCCACCTCTTGATGTACAGGGAAACCCTTCTCCTTTCCTTCCTCCCC